GTGCTTCTGTTTCGGCTACCCCCTACGGCGCTTCGTGGCCCCTTCGGGAGCTCCACCGACGGCCCCCCAGCGGCAGGGCCCGCATGCCGCCTCGTCGCCATTTCGGCACACCCATCAACTTTTTCGTGGCCCCATCGGGAGCTCCACAGAAGGCCCCAGCGGCTGCGTTCGCATGCGGCTCCGCCGACCCATTTCGGCGAACCCCTCACGCGCTCCGTGGCCCCACACGGTGCTCCACCTGAGGCCTCAGTGGCAGCCCCCGCATGCGGTTCCATCCCACATCTTGGTGCTCCCCTCGCACGCTCCGTAGCCCCATAGAGAAATCTCCACCGAAAGCCCTAGTGGACGAGGCAGCCTGCCGCCGACGGGCCACGTTGGCACGCCCCTCAAACGGTTCGTGGCCGCATAGGAGGACGCACCGAAGATGGTACTCACAACTGCGGCAGGAATCACTGCGTATGGTTGGGTCTTTCGCCAGGCTCATTGGGTTCGCTAGGCGGCGCTGAACGGGAGGCGATAAATGGGGACAAGGACAAGACAAGAGCCCGCGTCGAGGCACCTAGGAAGGTGCGGCGGGAGGGCGCGGAGGCGCCGGAATGGGCTGGCCGCTCAGAAGCCGGGGTCAGGAAATGGCAGCGGGGTCGGAGAGATTACGGGAACAAAAAATGGCATAAACATAACAACTCGGAGGTCCGCGCGGACCTCCGAGTTTTTATGCTCATGTCATTTTTGTTGTTCCCTTAGAGATGGGAGTGGGCGCCGGAGCCGCAGTCGAGAAGAAGAACCACGCGATTAATGGGGGGGAAGGTTCACTTGTCGGGCCCTGCATGGTCTCTCTGCTGCAGCTCTCGCTGCCCCCTCTCAGCTGCCGCCTCCATTCCCCACGACGCCCAAGCTCGGCGAGAGAGCACGGGCTCTCTGGTGAGGGGGGCGCGGGGGAGGGAGGGAGGTGCCGGCCGATAACCTTATGTCGGGCGTGTCCCCCTACAGGGGGATTTTCGACGAAAAAAAAAAATCAGAACAAACTACAAACATAGTCTGGGGAAGTTTTTTTTGTGTTTGTTTTTTGTATTTTTTGACCTCTTCGGTGCATGTTTGGGGTATTTTTTTATCTTTCGTCGAAAATCCCCCTGTAGGGGAACACGCCCAACATAACGAGAACCTCACCTTCTCGCTGTGGGCAGCCTCGTGCGCGCCCGCGCGCACCCACGCGGCGCACCCCCTGCGGACCTGCGCAGCCGACGAGGTCCGGTTCTCTGGGGGGACGGGGGGGGGGGGGCGGCCGGGCCCGATGACCCGGGGAATCTCCGGACCCTGCCGGAGCAGTCTCAAAGGGACCCGAAGCCAAGAGATCCGATGTTATGTCACTTCCTGCACGGTGCCCAGACGAAGACCAACCTTCCAACCCCCGAATTGTGCTTCGACGGCCCAGGTGCCCGAAGCCATCCCCTAAGAGGCCGATGGTGACGGAAAGCATGGGCATGTGGATCACGAAACGACAATATGAGAAGATGTGCACTTCCGGAAATTCGCGCGGCAACACAATCAGAGCCGAACTCAGGAACCCATGCACTCCTGATTGGCATTCCCAGACGGCGCCGGCGCGAATCGTGACTTGACCGGCCCCATCTCCATCGGTTACGCCCGAGATCGCTAATTAGGGGATCAAACACGGTCTCTAGACCTCCAAGCCCGTATCGTTCCGCAGCATACCTCAAGCCAGATCGATATGTAAGGAACCCAGGGGGGGCCGACACTGGGCGAAAACGCTGGCATGAAATAAAGAGCGCCGCCCATATCTGAGGGGATGTCCGTCAGGGAGCAGCCCCCAGAGCGCCACGGAATGGGCGGCGCATCTCGGCGGAGGGGGGAGGAGGAAGAGGGAGCGAGGAGGAAAGAGCAGGAGGGAGGATCAGGAAAAGGAAGGAAGAAGGCGAAGAGGGAGGGAGGGAGGGAGGAGGAAGGAGCAGCGGAGGAGGGAGGAAGAGGGAGGAGGAGAAGGCGGAGAAGGAGGAGGTGGAGGAGGAGGAAGAGGGAGGAGGAGAAGGCGGAGAAGGAGGAGGAGGAGGAGGAGGAAGAGGAGGAGGAGAGGAGGGAGGAGGGAGGAGGAGGAGGGAGGAGGAGGAAAAGGGGGAGGAGGAGGAGGGAGGGAGGAGTGAAAGAGAGGAGGAGGAGGAGGAGGAGGAGGAGGAGGAGGAGGAGGAGGAGGGAGGAGGAGGGACAAAGAGGATGAGGAGGGAGGAGGAGGAGGAGGAGGAGGGGGAGGAAGGGGAGGAGGAAGAGGAGAAAGAGGAGCAGGGAGGCAGAGAGGAGGGAGGAGGAGGAGGAAGGAGACAAAACTCATGCCATTCTTCTTCTTCTGGGAGCTGCGGGGGAGCACCCCCCCACCAGCGCGCGCCCCTCGGACGTGGCCGGACGGGCCCTGCGGACCGCGCGAGCCCGGGGGGCGGTCCTGCGGCAGCGACAGCAGGCCCTCCGCGGGGAGCGGCGGTGCCGCGGCCTCCCAAGCAGGCGACGGGTGCAGGCGAGACTCGTGCTCAGATCCACTGCAGCCTGGAGATTCGGGCTTCCCTCGCGAGCAACCCGAGGCGCACTGGATATGGGTGAACATCTGCCTAGAGGCTCGATATTTCTTCAGATCCAGTGCGCCTCGGCCTTGTAGCGCCCCGTCCGAGAAAGCCCAATACACACTGGATCTGGATACGAATCTTGCCCGCAACGGGGGACGCTCGGGGTCGCCATCGCCGTCGCCGCGAAGGGTGCATGAACGCCACATTTTTTTGGTCGGCGGGGCGAGAGCGAACCTCTTCCGCTAAAAGCTAGGCGGGCTACGCATAGCTTTCACTAGGGAGATGCATCAGCGTCACAAGCGCAGGTTGAAAACTGGTAGCACGCTGCAGCTCCCGTGGCGTACATCGTAATCATAGTCTGCGTGGCGGAAGTTTGCATGGGGCGGCCTAGAGTTTGAGAGCCTCGGGCCCCCACGTCCCCCAAGAACCCCGAGAGAGCCCCGAGGGAGCTTCGGAGGGCAGAAACATCGTCAGCGCCACGCCAGTCCGACGACCGCATCGGCGTGTTTTATTGTTGCGGGAGTGCCAAGCATGTTGTGCAATCAGAAGGGAACGAATATGGCACGCACGGTTTGAAGGACGACCTGCGTGTCATTGACACCGTTTCTCCCTCCCGAACAATGGGGGGCCAACACATCCGACGCCTCGAACAGATCGAAGCAGCCACAATGTCGCAATGCTTGGCTTTCGGAAACCAATTCTCAGGGCTCGAGAAAACAAAAACAACGGCCCTGGATGAGAATTCGGCGGCATGCGGATTGTGTCAAGAAGTCTGGGGAATACGCTGGGGAGAACTCATTGCGCTTGATGCCCCGGACATCCGACGATATGTGTTGCTGGCAATCCGCGGTCCCAGAACTCCCGACACCTTCCAGGGGGCTAGATGCTCGTCCAGGATCCAATGAATCCTGTTTCCCTGGAGCCCGATAATGGGCCCCACGAGGTCGAAATCGACAAACATCACCGAGATTGAAAACGAATCGTAGCTCCAGATGTCAGGGGAGAACGCCTTGAGCAAGACCTCAGGAGCAATGCGAATTGGTCAATGGCCGCACCGCGAGGCAATTTTGCACCTCATAGCCGTCCTTGCGCACGGCCTCATAGCCGTCCTTGCGCAAGTCGTTGCATATGGCCGAGGGAACAATGGGCCAGCAGGCGCTCTAGGCACGCACGGCTGGGTACGTCACGGATACAGATGCTGACCGTACTGTGGCGACGGGCAATGCAAACAGCGAAGCGCTGTCGTAATCCAAGGCATCGCTGCCAGCGTGGGTCCCACACAGGAAGTTCTTGCACAATATATGCAAGCTATGTGCAGTCATTCATCCGTTCACTCATTCACGTCATTGGCGCCGATGTCTGAGCTCGCAGAACTAGGCCCAACAAGTTCCAACTCAAATCGCTTACCAGAAATCGGGGCGATGTCCCTGCTTCTTGGCGTTCACAAAACCCCCACTCTATGAGGAGGTTTCGCAGCCGACGGGCCCGATAGGGCCCCAGCCTGAGACACACAACCTCTGACGTGTATAGAGGTCGAAAGGTTCACGCCAAACAGACACGGGACGATCACGCTAGAGATCGACACTCCATTCTAGCTTGCTCTAATGTGCAAGCTACGTGTTGCAACCTGCGCTGCATTAGCTACGTGGTGCAATGTATATGGTGCAAGCTACGAGGTGCAAACTATTTGGCGCAAGCCATTCCGTGTAAGTATATGCTACGCGGTGCAAGATATGTGGTCTACTCTATGTGGTGTAATCTGTGGGTGAAAAGATGTGAGGGCAAACTGTGTGGTATAAGCCATGTGGTGTGAGCTATGTGGCTCAACATGTGTGGTGCAACAGTTTCGTTGTGCAGAACCAAACAATGGATTATCAACTCAACTGCACGCGCACATATCCCAACCTCCCGCCTGGAATTTGTTTTGCGAAACCCATGCGGCCACGATTGCGGATGTACTTGTGGCTGGCTGGCACCATTCTGCGGCCGCGCTGGAGCGCGCAAGCTCGCGCGAAGAGCGGCCAGTTGGCACAACTGTTGTGGCCGCGATGGCGCTTGCCAATGGGAACTTCCCAGCGCGTCTCAGAGGCCGCGCTGGCGCGCGGGCTTTTCAGTGCGGGTGGGTGATTCGGGCGGGCGCGGTGTCATGATGACGGCGACAACGGCAGCAACGGTGATAAGAGTAGCAAAGGTGGTGGCGATGGTGGCGATGACGAAGACAATGCACATGTTCTCGCCGATGCTGGTGACGACGATGACGATGACGAAGACAATGCAAATGATCTCGCCGGTGCTGTCCAGCGGTTGGTGGGAAAAGGTGATTGACCGATGATGGCGGCACTTGCGGCAATTGACGATGACGATGACGATAACGGCGGTGATGCGGTGGCGCTGATGAGGAAGGTGGTGAGGAAGCGCGCGCGCGCAGAAATTCAAGAACCCAGTCGACTGTCTGTTGACAAACCCGTGCTCCCTGTCACGTGTGTTTGAAGGGCCCTGTCTTGAATGCTTCGATAATGGCCGTGGAAAGATTTCAACACGCGCGCGTAGGTGCGCGCGCATTTAAGGCCCGCATGGTATTATTCGATACGGAGTCGTGCACTGGGAGCATGCTGGATCAACGTGGATGCACCGCGTGGTGGGAAAAAGAATGCGGGCTCTTGACTAGATTGCTGAAATCGAAAAGCTGTCCTACGATTTCCTACGAACCTGCAAGATTTGTAATGAAACGCCAGAAGGCTCCAAGAGGCTCCAAGAACGCCAAGGCTCCAACCGACCTTTCGAGCCTTCCGCCACAAGAGGCCCCCAAGATAACACAAGAGGAGCTAAAGAAGCCCACAAGAGGCCCCCTGAAAGGCCCAAGAGAGCCCAGGGAGCAATCCCAAATCACTCCTCAAGAAGGTGAAATCAACGCCGTCGTTCGTCGTCACCTTCAGGATCGACGGCACCGGCTATACGGGCTTAACAACTGCAATTCTCCCATGGCTTCAACAAATGCACGCGGGCAAAGCATCCGTACCACTTGCACTGAGACACCTAAACATTGTTGATGTTCTTGTGTTGAATAATTTTGAGGATTAGTGCTTTGGTGTGATTTCGACATGTGCGCGCGTGTAGACTTTGCTCCATTACCTGCGAAACATATATAAAGCAACTATTTTTTTTCATCAACGGATGCGCGGGCATGGAGTGATATGACAGGAAGGACGGGAGGCTCGATACCCATTGGACTGGGGTGGCTTGAGTTTATATGAAAACGGACAGGCAGATTTACATAAAAAATTGAAGTGTGCCAGGAGGGGCCGATAAGTCCAGAATCGGGAGGGAGTTGGATCCTTTCTCTTGACCTGGAGATCTGAAGGAACCGAACTCCATACACCGACGCTTTTTCCAGCCCCGCACTGAAACTCGCACAGGAAAGCGGATCCTGGTGTAAATTGGGGACATGCTTCATTGTTTCTCCGGGGCATCGGGGCAGAAAGTACACACCACACCACCCCAGCGTCGCCCTCGACCCTCCAAAACTCCGGAGGTGAAAAGACAGCCCGCCACTGGCAAGGCATAGGTTCCAGCCTCCGACTGCTTCTGACCGGGAGATCGACCTGGCCGCCCCGCGCACGAGGCCCCCACGAGGCGGCCGCGGGCGCCCGGTGGCGGGCAGCAGGCGAAGCCTCGGCTGCCCCACCCGGCGCACGTGGCGCCCACGAGGCGCCGACGGGCGGGCACCGGGCGACCCCTGGGCTGACCTACCCTTTGTAGGTCTCGAGAACCCCCCAAATGGCTTGAAACTAATATATATATATATATATATATACACACACACACACACGTCGTTCCTTTCTAATCGTGCTCGTTTCCACCTTTGCTCGGTTCTAATGGTTCCTGGCCCCCTAGTGGCCAGGAAGAGGCCCAGGACAGAATAATTAGAAGTGAGAGGATCCTGGCCCCCAAAAAATCAAAGATTTGTCGAATAATTGGAAATGAACAATGTGTATTCTATATCATGTACATAGCACCCCGCAGATGCGGATAAGAGTGAGAGGGCGGTGAGGACGTCGGCAGTCTGCGAGACCCTGGAGAAGCCCGCCGCAAGCGCCAAGATCTCACACACAATGTAATACGAGCCCGCCGCAGGCGCCGATTTTTTCGTTAAACCAATGTGGGTAGGTCGCGGGTGGGTCGCAAATTGGTCGCGGGTGGGTCGCGGCTGGATCGCGCCTGGGTCGCGGGGTGGGTCGCGGGTGGGTCGCGGCTGGGTCACGGCAGGGTCGCGGGGTGAGTCGCGGGTGCGTCGCGGGTGGGTCGCGGGTGGGACGCGGGTGGGTCGCGGGTGGGTCGCGGGGTGGGTCGCGGGGTGGGTCGCGAGTGGGTCGCGGGTGGGTCGCGGGGTGGGTCGCGGGTTGGGTCGCGGGTGGGTCGCGGGGTGGGTCGCGGGGGTGGTCGCGGGGTGGGTCCCGGGTGGGTCGCGGGTGGGACGACGACAACAAACAAACAAACGAACGAACAAACAAACAACAACAACAACAATCAGTTTAAGACTGTTCGCCCTTATCTGCTCGAGTGTCCAATAACACGTATTTCCCAAACCCTCGATACCCGCCCTCTTCGTCTTCGATCGAACCACTTTTGGGGGGTATACCTTTCTTCCCTGCACGCCGGGCCCCTGCAAGCGGCAGGGCGGCCGCGGACCGTCGGCCTGGCCAGCGGCAGCGCTGATCGGCGGGGCGGCCGCGGACCGTCGACCCGACCCCAAGAGGGACAGACAGGGGACCGACCACAACGACGACGACGTCGACGACGACGGCGACGGCGACGACGGCGACGACGACGAGCGAAAGCGAAAGCGAGAGAGAACGACAGCAGGGCCACGAAGGACACGAAGTAGGCCACGAAGGGAGACAGCGGGGACACGAAGGGAATGCGACTGGTG